AAAATAAAATGGCAGGCGTTAATTTTATTAAATTCTCAGAAAAGGAAGAATACAGGAAGAAGAAAAGATTCTTATATGGAGAATCAATGGGTGGTGCAGTTGCCCTTGTTGCACACAGAAAAGAAGCCCATTTCTGGGATGGTGCTGTTCTAGTGGCTCCCATGTGTAAGGTAGTAGGATCTATTAATTTAGATTGATTTTATTAAGTAGTTAATTGGTACATATACATACGTAGATATCTGAGAAGGTGAAGCCCCACCGCGTGGTGATAAGCATACTAACAAAAGTAGAAGATGTGATCCCCAGATGGAAGATTGTTCCTACAAAGGATGTCATCGATTCTGCTTTCAAGGACCCTGTTAAGAGAGAGAAGGTAAGTCCATTACACTATATACATATTTGATATTTCATGAGTGTAGACTGTAGAATGTGAAATTAATTCATGTGTGAATGGAATATTAGATACGCGGGAACAAGCTGATATATCAAGAGAAGCCGAGGCTTAAAACAGCTCTTGAATTGCTTAGAACAAGCATGGCGCTTGAACAGAGCTTGAACCAGGTAGGTAGCAGCAGTAGTAGTCTCCTTGTGTTGAGTGTTTAATTTTGGAAATGGCAGGTGAGGCTCCCTTTCCTTGTGTTGCATGGAGAAGCAGACAGTGTGACAGATCCAGAAGTAAGCAAGGCTTTGTACAATGAAGCAAGCAGTAAAGACAAGAGCATAAAGATATACCCTGGTATGTGTCATGCCTTGACCGCTGGTGAGACCGACCAAAATATCCATATTGTATTTGCTGACATCATCTCTTGGCTCGATGCCCGATCATCATCATCCCATGCTAGACACCTGCTGCACCACCACTCCGCCATGTAAAACAAAATTCAGGTCCCGTTTGATAATTACTGATTAAGAAAGTGCTGATTGGCAAATATCTGTCTGGGTAAAAAATCCTGACTGAGTAAGAAACCATGCTGTTTGATTGTACATCTTACTGAATGTGCTGAATGATGAAAAATGACCATTTTACCCTGCGGATATATACAGTGATGGATGAAGTTGTTGAAGAGTTATAAAAACATATATTTTTAAGCACAAATTTGATTCAACATTTAGAACAAAACATACATATAATATTTTTGTACCCAAAATACCCCTCCTCATGAAAATGCCATAAATAACAAAACAAATCAACAATACATCAATTAGCAATCCAAGACCATTGATCGAACAATTTCCTCTTGACGCAAGATCAAGTTCATAAGGCAAGATTATGAAACTATGATGCAAGATTTCTTCCTAGGCGGATGAAAACAGTGACAAGGACAAACCCATAACAAAATTCAAGATTTCTGCAAAAAAGAGATAAAAACTTGTTCAAAATAAGTGTATAGTGATTGCTCCGAGTTTAAACCCCACAAGAACAACACCATATAGACCATACAATTAGGTAAAAAAAATCCACATAACATCAATAGCAACGAGCACAGCAACAACAACCAAAAAAAAAAAATCACAACAAAATACAAAATCGAAAAAATCACAGCAACAAGTCAACAACAACAAAGCAACAGGTCGGAAGGTACATCAAGGCACAGCAAAATCGAAAAGGAATATTGAAAAAAGATGTATACATACACATAAATAAAAATTCAATATGTTTTTGAAAAAAGATTTAACTGATTGAAACAAAGGAGGAAGGACTTTGAAACGACATCAAAAGAACAACATCAATTAGCTCTCATATTACAGTTTCAGAAATAAATATAATACCCATTAACAATCAATTCTTCCTTAAGTTTAGATGTTGCTGTGATTTTCATAATCTATTATTCTTTTCAGTTTAGGTAATCTGATGTTGGAACAAACTTATCCAGATTTAAGAATCTCATAATGCAAACAATTCTTCATTAACAACAAACATCAACAGATCAGAAAAAAAATCAGAAAATTTTTCATTAACAACAAACATCAACAAAGGAGAGAATTTCGGAAGAAAAACAGAAAACGCAAGTGAAAGAGGAGAAGATCAGCGTACCTGAGGAATGATGAGAAGAGGGGTGTCGATCGGTGAGGGGGTAGGTTCATCAATCTCAAACTCAAGCGCTCAGATCGTTGTTTTCGCTGAAAGAGGAGGAGAAGGTTTTTTTTGGAGGCGCTGAAAAGGAACGTTAGGGCAAGGGCATATTAGGAACACTTCTCAGTCAGCCAATTTTCATCGGTTTTCCCACTTAGATGTCTCTTACCGAGTCAGCCATCCAAATTTCGTTTAACAAACAACTTCAGTTGACCCAGTCAGCAAAAAAAATCAAACAGCCCCTCAGACTTACTTGCATCAATTCAATTATAAAAATATTATTAACATCATACAACCATCCATATATAGGAAACTACTCATCAGAACTGAAGCTACTAAATTAAAAAACAATAACCATCACCATCCCTCTAATTCCCTCTATCTTTAAAATAAATCGATCTCCAAACCATATCGGTATTTGTATTCGTGTGCATGCCTAAATACTAATTAAGATCAGGAAAAAAAAAACATCTTATTAAGTTATTATATACCATTGTTCAAAATTCCATCCTTGTATGCCAATTGCCCATTACCATTAGTATTATTAGCACCATCCAACTCTTGTCATTAATAACTAACTCTTCATTACAACTTTCAATTTTGTTCCAATTAATGTTGTAAAAACTTTACAGCAATTGTTCTTGTAAACTATATACGTCATTCTTAGTTTTTGTTTCGTATGTAATAACTTCAACTGCTTGATTGGTTAAACAATTAACTTCACAACATTGGAAATTGAAAGTTGAGTGAAAATATTTGGGGTTAACTCGGCTCCTTTGTAGTCACTAGATGCATGAAACAATTGCGAGGATGATTATTACTTATTATTAGTGAAGAACTATAAAATAGAAAGAAAAAAAAAAAAAAGGGTATTGTAGTCCAATCCCATCCCATAGTTAGGCTAACCCCGACCTCACAATTCTTATATTCTATTTGTCCATATCTAACCACTTCAAGTCTTGATTGAACTTTGAACCGCAAGTTACCAAGTCATGAAGGAGAGATATTACCTCATATTCAATGTGCGAGTAGGAGTCAACAACAGATCGAGACAACCTGGAGAAACTAGGGTAGTTTTCATGCTCTAGACATAAACCCTAAAATGGTGGCTGTAGATGGAGATATGGAACTAATAGGGTGTCTGTAAATGGTTAATCGATGCCACTAGATTTCACAAAGATTTCACAAAGGATTTAATGTTTTGCCTATGAAGATTTTGGGTATTAATTTTTTAGATAAAATTAGGGAAAACCACAAAAAAAAAACTTATCTATTATTGGTCCATGCTTAAAAAAACTCTTTTACTATTTTTAGGTCCATTTAGAGGGTGTTCGGATAAATTAGTTTATAGTTTATTACCTTATAGTTTATTAGTTTATAACGGTGAGAGAAAGCAACTTTTGTAAAAATGTTTAGATTATAAATAAGCTTAAATGGGGGAATGCTTATTAAAATTAGCTAATTTGGTTTATCCCCATTACAATAAGCTGATTTTTAGTGTTTTCTATCCAAACATTTAAACTTAGCTTATAGCGGTAGAGATAAACAATAAACAATAAACACCATCTTTTTTTCCATATCAAACACCCTCTTTCTTTCATCAGCTTTTCATAGTTAACCGGTTAACAATATCCAACGTGGCTTACGTCTCTTCCTAATCTCCATTTTCAAGAACATGCAGTCGACAATTAGAACAATATCGCTGACTTCACGATCCCTGACAAAATTGATTATTGGAACTAGGGGTGTAAATGAGCCGAACCCGAGCCTGACCAAGCTCGAGCTCGGCTCGTTTAAATTTTTAGGAAGCTCGAGCTCGAGCTCGAGCTTGATTCGAACCTTAAAATGAAGCTCGAGCTCGGCTCGTGAACAATTTAGTGGGCTCGCGAGCCTAAATGAGCCTCTATATGTGTGTGTGTGTGTATATATATATATATATATATATATATGTGTGTGTGTGTGTGTGTGTGTGTGTATATAGGCTCGTTTAAGCTCGTTTAGGCTCGCGAGCCCACTAATTAAAGCTCGGCTCGAGCTCGTTTAATAAACGAACCTCATATTTAGGCTCGAGCTCGGCTCGGGCTCATTTAATTCGATCTCGAGTCGATCTTTTAACGAGTCGATCCCGAGTAGCTTACGAGTAGCTCGGCTCACTTACACCCTTAATTGGAACGTGTTTGTACCGATCGGACTAGGTCCAATTCGTGATTGGGGTCGCCAATTTGGCGTTTGGGATCGCCAATTCGGAGTTTGGATCGCCGACTTGGAGATTGGCGGGAAAACCAGTGTCGACTAAACAAAATTAACAATCCACAATAGACCCTTCGATTTAGGTCCTGATGCTTCAATTAATGCTTCCAATAGATTCAACTGATTATATATTACATATTCCTAAACTCCTATTCTACCATTCCTTCAATTACCTATATCGAAAATCGTCAACTCCAAAATATGGAAAATCAACCGAAAAGAGACAAAGCAACAACAACTACCAAAAGCAAATGAGCAGAAACCATGAAGTCTAGAACCCATATATGTTAATACTTCAAACATCAGACCGGGACCGTGAAGTCTTATTTATGGATTTTTCAAGGGTATAGTTGTCACTCATTATAGGTCTGGAAAGATGAACTGATGCATCAATTAATGAATTAAACAACAATTAACTTAAAATATGAAAAATTACACTACATGTATTTTAAAACAAATTGGTATGAGGTCTGATGCAAATTAAATTGATTTTTAAGTGTAATTGTCACTTTCTTTTGTCACCCCATGCATGGAGTTTTTATATTTTTTGGTATGTACAGATCTGATATGATGCTACCCAGAAACAAAAAGTTGAGTAGAATTTGAGGATTTTGTCCAACTGCAAACATAATCGATTCAAAGAAAAGAAAAATAAAAACATGAAAAATTCTCATATTGCCCCTGATGTGGAAAATAAAAACAGAAAGGAGATCACCATTTTGCCTTTGGTTTGGGTCTTTAGCATACCAGAAAATGGGACAGAATACACAATGCAAAACAAAAAATGGGATTACTAGATTACGTGCATTTGACTATTTTCCCCTTGGTGTGATAAACAAAAAATGGGACAAGAATACACAATGCAATATATAAAACAGTTATACCACTCCATTAACAACATAGCAAGAATATAAACATGTTAAAAGGGGACATACATTACAAAAGGCTAGGAATACTAAGTTCCAAGTATCAAAAAAACATCACAAACGGCTAAAGTTTTGTCATATTCCTGTTCATAAATATATTGTTCTAAATTAACAGGTTTGTCCTGTGTAGATCCACCTCTAGCCTTATCAAAAACTGGGTTTCAGAGCTTGATCTTAATAATTCTTTCAGATGGCTTTCTTGGCTTGAGCTTTGTACGAATAATAGGCACATCAGTTGCTATCCCGCCATCAACCATATGAAATTGATCTTCCAAATTAGGTACACAAAATTTAAAAGTTTTACATTTTATAAGTTTTGACTGTTGGTTTAATCACTTACTTCTTGTGTCTCC